TTTCCTTAGGAGGGAGAAGTTCCAGGGGCTTCTCCTTGGCCCTTCTTTTTCCACTAATCTTTGCTCCCTGGGCCAGGGAACCACTATGGTGACTGACTGGGGGCACTTTAGAGTTGCACTGGGCCTGCTAGGGTGCAGACTTTGGTCAGAACACCCCTCCATTTATCACTTGCTCCCTGTAAGTCCCCTCTTGGACAGTGGACCACAGTGATTTTCTGATTCTCTGGTGAACAGTGTGAGCTCGGAGCCGGGTCCAGTGATCCCCGGTGGTCTGAGCACTCCCGCTACCTCACAGCAGCCCTGATGCGCAGCCTCAGACCCTCTGGGAAGGCGAAGGGAGGCTCCCAGTGCAGCTGAGATGCTATCGCAGGAGCGTTCCTCAACAACACGAGTCTCCACTTCTTCCAAGCGGTACAGATTCTAGGGCTTGAAATCTGGCCTGGAAATTGACTGAGATGCTCCCTCATGACGAGCAGGCTCTCTGGTTCCACTAACACAGCAGCACCTTAGTGAGCTGAGCTGCCATTTATTTTTGCCCTAAGGACCCCGCCACCACTGAATCACTGCTTGGGATCCCTGTGGGAAAGGCCATCCTGATTACCACGCCAGCCCTGCTACCTAATGTGGTGACCAAGCCTGCCTGGTTCGTGCTGGCCAACTGCCACTGCTCGGCTTCTGCAACAGAGGAAATCGAAGACCCAGAAAACCACTTTGGAATGCTGTCCTTTCACCCATCAAAGCCCTGGTTAAGGGGCTGGGTTAGGGCCTCCCCCAGGAACGGTGTGGCTTTGTGAGTGGTTCTCACGTAACACAGCCACTGCAGCGTTTCTATTTCCTAAAGATACTGGGTTCCTTCTTTGACGTTAGCGGAGTTCAGAGTGGTCGACTGTCACGTTCAGTTCCTTCAACTAGTCAAGCAGACAATTAAAAGCACTCTCAGCAGCTCAACCCAAAATGCCAAATTCAGAATCTGCGTTAGCTGAACCCATTTTGGGAAGACTCAATCAAATCTGAAACTAGCTCACCAACATAATCCATTCCCACACGTGGTCCTCCAGACTTCCTGATACTCAGAATCCTCCAAATGCTCACAAATATGCACCTTTCAGTAGTATGGGTCCTGCTCTTGGTCTGCTAAATTTCCCTACCTTCACAGAAAAAAGCTTGGTGAATCTGTGAATTCCACTGATATAATTTGGCAACCTGCAGGGTCAAATACCGAGTTTCGCTTTTGATTACTTTAGTATCGTGGGTGCAAGAAATGTTTCTTTGAGCAGTCCTGGAAGGTCTCTGGGTTTTCCATCCCTGCCTTGATCTCAGCTGGCAGTCTATGAAGTCCTCATGCCTTCATTTTGTCCTATAGCAGATGCAAAACAGCTCCCCTATGTTTTGTCCTTACTGGACACTTCATTCCATGACACACCAACAATAGTGTCATTAGCTGTCTCATCATGGGCTGCCAGATTCCCAACCAGTTAGATGCTGTTGCTACTGCTACGATTCTGTTTTTAATGTCCTGCCATCTATGTGGTGCTCAAGATTGAAGGACCTGGGTGGCACCAGATAAGCTAAGTCAAGGGCCCTTGTGATGTCTGCCACCTAAAAAAGAAAAATTGGATCTCCCCACTTTGGTTCTGCAGCGGGAGGCCAGGAGCCTTCCCAAAACCAGCGTTCAGATGAACAGCATTCCTCCAAGGTACATTTGTTTGATGAATACTTTTGCAGTCTTTTTTTTTCTTTTTTCTCTTTTTTCTTAAAACCTTTTCTATTATTTTACAGGGTTCCAGGGGAGACAAATTCCCGTGATCAGCTGTCAAGCTAATTCTTCCTTAACAACTATTTCTTATTTAATTTTGGGAAATTAAAATATTTAAAGATAAAAAAAAAGAACAAGTTAATGAGTATCCATATTTCTATCACCCAGATTAAGCCACTTAAATTTTTGACGTATGTTGTCATTTCTAGTTTTCTTTTTTTAAAAAAAGTAAAAATTGCGAGGTGGCAGGAAAAGAGGCAAAAATTATAGATGCTCATTGTAAAGTATTCAGACTTAGACAAAATAGGAAGATTCATTCACTCAGTTAATATTTATTGAGCACCCAACAGGCACCAGATACTGGTCCAGATACTGAAGATACAGCAGAGAAAAAAAAAACAGACAAGAAAAATCCCAGCTCTCATGGAACATACATGTTAGTAGGAAATATTACAAATAAGAAAAATATTAAATTACACAGTATGTTAGATGATAAGTGCTACAGAGAAACACAGAGATTTGGTATACAAATCATCAGGAGGAAATGCAATTTTTAATAGGATGACCGGTCAGGGGAGGTCTCACTGAAAGGTGGTTTCTGAAAATATACCTAAAGGAGGTGAAAGAGGTAAAGAAAGGAGAGAAGTCAACCCCGACGTCACTATCCACAAATAACATAATGAACATAAGGCGCAGATAATTCCAGATATCTAAGTCTATGCACAGGTATCTGGATGAATAATTATGGATGAACAGAAAGACACAGCTGGGAGAAATACACTGTTATATAAAAGGGGTTCAAACTATAGATTTTTGGGGGGATCATCAATTATCTATTAAGCATCTATTTTTGTTTCTGGAGATACTCATGTATATGCACACATATATACATACATCTGCATCACCCAGATTCAGGTTTTGGATTGCATTGTATCTACAATCAATATGGTTAGAAATGATACATTCTTTTTATTGAAGCACAGCTGACTTATAATTAGAAATGATATTTTTGATAAGTCTTCCAACTCATGAACAGGGCCCATCTCTCCATGTATTCAGGTCTTATTTAGTTTCTTGTAGTAAGTTTCGTAGTTATCTGTGTTGAGGTCTTATACATGTTTCAGATTTCTTTTAAGGTATTTGATGCTTTCTGATGCTACTGCAATTGGTATTCACATTTCAAACTGTTGCTAGAATACAGAAATACTGTACTTTTTATCTATTACCCACATCCTGTAATGTTGTTAAATTCAGAGTCTAAGTTTATTAATTTGGATTTTCTACATACACAATCATGTCACCTGAGAATAACAATTTGGTTTCTTCCTTTTTAGCCCCTAAACTTTTCATTTATTTTTCTTACACTGGCTAGGAACTCCTGCACAAAATGGAAAGCTGTGGTGACAGCAGGCACCTCTGTCTTTTGCCTGATTGCTGGGGAATAAAGTTTCCAGTAATTCACAGTTAAGTATAGTGTTTGCTAGAGTTTTTGTTTGTTTCTTTGATAGATCCTCTTTATTAAGAAGCTCCCTTCAATTTCTAGTCTGTGAACTTTTAAAAATGCTTTTTATGACTCTACAGACTTTCTCCTTCACTTCTATAAATGTGGTAACGAATGATAATTTTTCAGTTTTTAAACTACAGATAGTTCTTGCTTTTGCACTGTACCGTGTAAATGGAAATTTGCTGATTTTTGTGGTCTAAATCACTCCCACCCTGGCAGAGTTCAAGCTACCAATGAGATGACTGACCAGGTGGGAAGAGAGATGTAAAATTGGTTGTTGTGAGCCAGGATGAGCCAGCGCTGGCACACCTCTGACTTCAGTTCCCAGTAACCAAGAGCGAAATTTATCACGACTTCACAGGACCAGCAAGAACAAAGCAACCTCAAGTTATTTTATAAAAAGTCTCACAGATAATCTAAAAAGTTGATAAAATATGGATATAACCCCCTTAATGTTTCAGGCCTTTATTAAATACCTAATAAACAGCCTCTAGCACTATGTTAATGCAAAGAAAATGTAACTGTTCGAAGAGCTTACAGTCTAAATGACCTACACACAATGAACAGAATGGGCCTGAAATTTGGAGAAAAATCTTCAGACAGCTGCAGCAACTTAGTGCCAAGGAAATCCAAAAGGATGGGGACAGTGTAGGGATTCTTCCTGGAAGAGATTATACGGGTCATGAGCTAGGTCTTAATGAAGATAATGGAATCTGGGCTAGCAGAGGGAAGAAGGGAGGAGGCAGGAAAGCACAAGGCACCCGGCAGCCGTGAGCTCGCCTGTGAAACGCTGGGCGCTCCCTGGTGCCGCGCCACTTGCAGTGCTTACGGCGACGTGTCAGGGAGGGACGCTGCCGTTTCTCAAGCTACGCAAGTGCAAGTGGCTAAATGACACTTCACGTTAATCATCAAACGTACTCACTCTGCTTTTCTGCATGTAGATGATAGTGAACTCAAAAGTCAATTTTCTACTGAAACACTTTATAATTAAGGTCCTTAAGGGTTTTTAGGCTGAGACAAAACACATTCTTCAACATCCAGGGTACAGCTCAGAGAGATGATCAAGGAGGGTTTTTACTTGTTGACTCTGAAAACATCTACCCCAAATCATAATGGTCAAGATCCAGACAAACAGAGCCTGAACATTCGGTTTCCTTATTTATCTGTTCATAAAGAACACATGGAAAAGCCTATACTCTACCATTCTAGAATAAGTCTACGATTATTAGATTCCAGAAACAGCTTGAAAACCAGAAATGTGGGAAGTGGAGCTATGGCCACAAGTGATACGGATTCTGAGCTAGAGCTCTCAAAGCACATAAAGAATTGAGTGTGATAAAGTATCCACTTATTATCAACATTGTACTTACATACTAGTTGGTCAATTTAAGGAAAATATTTTGCCAAAACAAATTTCGGATACACAGAAATTCTGGATTTCAACTACTATATAATTATTATAGTATAATTATGCTAATTCTCCTACTGATATGATTAATAGCAATACCGTATGATTCTGAGGCTGATAAACTATATAAAATATCTTGTAAGACTTCTACAAGGAATTCAGTGTTAGTCTGCCAAGTTAATTTCCAATCCTCACATCAAAGTTACTGAAAAGTAGAATTTTCATGTATACACTCTTAATAATTTTTAATGATTTCTTTGTATCTAATCAATTTAGATAGTATTTTCTCCTATACAGAAGACCCCAAAATAAAGAAGCATACACAAAATATAGCCAATAGTGGGTTATATCAATTTACTTCACATAAGAACAGCATTATTTCAGGCCTACGATTTCCATTTAATATCAATAAAAACAATCTGTACAGAAAACCCAAAGGCAACCATATAGCATAACATGTAAAATGTGCAAATATACTTTAAAATGCAAGTTATTCTATAGCATTTGCACGGCAGAACTTTATAGTAAATTAAGGAATCTACCTCATTCTAGCTGACTTACTAATCCTTTGTACGTAGAGCCAATGCAAATGTACAAGGCACAACTTAGTGTTGACACTAACACGTATAACACACACTCAGATTATTTGTTTGACGATATTAAAATAACATAACATCATGTTTGCATTTTATTATTTAAGGAGACATCAGCTCATTTCTAAAGCTTCATGAAGCATTACACTGATAACATATGTGTGGCCAGAATAAACTGTTTCCTGAACTTAAAAGGTAGACTAAAAAGACAAGACCCTTACTATCCTATATTAAAAAAAAATTATATATATATGTACACACACACCCCCACATCACACATAAGAAACTTCCCATAATCTAAAGGGAGGTTGTTCCTTTTAGTAAAGGTTCCCATTACAGTATTTCATGATAGTTATTTCAAAAGTACATATTTATTTACCACCTGTTTTGGTCAATCTTGCTACAAAGACACTGAAAGAGACAATTTTCTTCTTCAAGATAAAGACAATGTTTAATTTAGAAAGTCTTTCTCTTGAGATTGCACAGTGAAAGGTATGATTTAGTTAAATATAAAAGCTTGCTGCTTTCAAAGAAATGATTTAAATCTACACAGAGAAAAATGTCAACCTATCAAAAATCAGTAAGAGTCTTGCCTAGAACACAATTTGAAATCTTTCAAGCCCAATCACAGTGCTCTGTGCCGTTTTATTGCCCATCCCTGAGAGTAAACCATTCTTAATTTTTTAATAAAGTAAATAAATTCTACATGGGTGAGAATGAAGCTTATGATTTTTTGCAAAATATGAAATAAGCCTCTCCATTTTAGTAAAGAAAGAAAAAGAAAGAAAGAAAGGAAGAAAAAGAAAGAAAGAAAGAAAAAAAGAAAAGAGAAAAAAAAAAAGAAAAAAAAAAAGAAATGCTCTTTACAAAGACCACTCACTATTCATAGCAATTTAAAATACTTGCATTTCAATCAATTTTAATCTTTTTTTAACTGGGTAAATTTTTTTTTTTGCTATTAATACTGGGTAATTCTTTTTTTTTTTGCTATTTACATATCACTCATTTCCTTATAATCCATTATTTTATAATTTTTGTTAATAGGAGCATTTAATTGGTAATGGAGCAAAAGTACATACAAAACGTAAAGGAATGCTGAGTGAGATCTCTACTTCCCCGTGGTGAGAGTTTTTTACAGGAAATAATCTGAATGCCATCCAAGAAAGGCAAAAGTACCTAAGAGAGGAAGAACACACATGGTATACATCTTCCTTGTTGTCTTTGGTTTAGCCTTCTTGACCAAAATCTTCTGTAAACTTCTTTAATTTCAACAAGTCGTGTTCATTGACCGTGGGTTTTGTGTGAGATAGTGACAGTAACATATCCGACTGCCAGGAAAAGAAGGGGAGAGCATTAGTTACAGATATAATCAAATAAGAAACATTGCATTATCATCGTTATTATTACTAACTCCCACTAAGGTTAAATCTAAATGTGTATAATGTGCAGCTACTGACGATAAACTCTCTTTTCTCCTAAAGGACATCTTTTGACTATGTTATTCCTTTGCTTATAGATTTTCAGTTGCTTGCCTTGTCCTGATCACGGTCTTCAAAGGTTCCTCAGCACCTAAGAACTACAGTCCGCTTATCCTGAGGATCAAGGCCCCCAGAGTAAGTCCCTGATCACTTTTCTTGCCGTATCTCTTTTTTCTTGAACAAGAGAGCAGTTGTTGACGTGCAACTCAAAAGGAATATAGTCATTCACTTACACTAATATGAAAGAGAATAATACCATTTAATCAGTATCAACTAATCAAAAATTCCACCTGTTAGTTAAAATTATCATGAAAATGGTAAGAAAATATGCCAATATCAAGGATTCATTAAAAAATTAACTTTTAGGCCATGTTTCTGGTAAAATAGTATGGAAAATGATCAAAATAATTAAAACTTTAAAAATTAAACCAAAGACTAAAACAAAAAAGGGTTTCTGAATAATTTCTCAGATAAGCATTGTGGTTACTTAGCACATAAATATATCTATATACATAGCAAACTTATATACATATGTGTACAAATATGTCTACATATCTTATGAAAGTTTCCCCTTTGGAAGTTACTGTTAATTTTGACAAAAAGCTCTTTGAAAATCTGTAACTAAAGAAGATTTTAAAACCTGAGTGTTCATCAATAAGAAAACACGAACATAATAAATACTTTCTCAATCACAGTAAGTTCCCTAAAATTAACATGCATTACAAAAGAATCTTATGATTCTTAATTCCTCCAGTAGAAACTATAGAAATATAATTTTTATGAATATTTTAATTCATCCAATGTAAACTTCAGAAATGTAATTTTTTATAATAAAGACTTTGTTTTCAGACTTTTTAAAAACAGCACTGCAATATTTGAACTTTCTATGAAGCCTTGAGAAGTAAAAGAGAAAAACACCATTATGAACACTATGATACACACATTAGGGTAACTGGATATTTTACAAAATCTGAGATTCAGGGAAAAAATTTTCACCAATCCCACATTCTAGTTAATTAAGTCTTGACAATAATTTATGTGATATATATGAACATTTCAGTGATAATATCCCAGCTATAAAACTCATAATGTCAGAAACCTATGTGTTTTTGGGAAATAGCTTACTCTCTTAATATTTCCTCTCTAAAGCCCAAGAAAACATTTTTAAAATATTTTATGTTCAATTACTCTTTACAACTTTTTAAGAAGTTAGACTAAATAAACATGTCTGATCATATTAACATTTTTCTAGCTAATTTCATGTAACTGAAAATTTTATCTGTCAGACAAATTACAAAATACAGTGAGTGTTTTGAAATTTTTCTTAAAAGCAAACAAAATGTCAAACCATGGAAACAACTGGCTCCAAAAGTTTATCTCCAGGGACATCCATCCATGTCATTTCAATGGCACCAGGGTCACCTGGAGAACAGGGCGTTAGCAGATCATCTACTACGCTGTTAGGATCTGCTCGTGAAGGTCCGTGAACCTGGAATAAACAGGCATCTGAAATATTTGTTTGAACAAACTAAATGAACATTAATATTTAGATCCTCATTAGGAAACCTGAAAATGTACTGTTATTTTATATTTTGTTAAAATGTTTTCTTCTGAAAATAAATAAAGGGAATATACAACAAACAGTATAATTGTCTCTGGGTGATGGGATAGATTTTGCTTGATTTTAATTGTTTTCTTGATGCTTTTCTGTATTTGAAATTTCCTATAACAAATTACTTACATGATTGCAGGGAGGAAATAAGTTAAAATAAGAAAGACTTGCGTGCAGCAAAAATTTTTTCTAATACTTAGTAAGTGCTAATAATCTTACAGACCCAAAATAGACCTACTCAAGAATTCTCTTAAGTTTCTCTATTTTCCACAGCTGAGAAATTTGTGATCTTTGGAAGGTTTATTACTGTAAAATGACTGAATCTTTTTGTCTTTCCCAACAAAAATGCTTTCTTCAAATATAAGTATAAAATTAAATGCTAAATGTAACTTCAGTGCTATTTTATGATTCATAACTGATTTAAAATAAAAAGTTTTAGTAACATCCAGAAAAAGAAATTTTGTGACACAGAGTGACACATCACAAATATATAGACAGGGACACATTTACATCAAATTGGGGGCTGGCTGCTTTCATTCTAATTTTAATATTTGTTTTACAATGATCAATCTTAAATACTGTCTCAGGACTGGGGCAGAGGTGAAGAAATAAACATTCTTACTTTAATTATGTGTACTTTACTGCTTGTCTTTCCTCACAAAAATTCCAGCAGCAGGGATTTTTGTGTTTTTTTGACTGTTGTACTTTCTGACTTAGCTCTGGGCTCAGATTAGTATTTCAGACATTTAATAAATACAATAAAAACAGGCAAACTTGTTCTTGCTAACTGGAAAATGGAGCAGAAGATGGAGCCACACAGAGACCTGCTCTAGTCGGTGATACAAACGGCCTGATGTTGTAACTGAGCTGGCTGCTTCAGCTTTTTGTCCTCCTGACAGAGGCCTGGCTTCAGGGTCACATGAGCTGTCCCCGGGAGAAACACAGAGAATGGGAAGCTCAGCAGGAAAGGGCTGAGTTTCTAAGAAACCACAGTGTCTAAATGGCAAAGAGAATTTAAGAAAAAATATGACAGCTGTGGAACAAGCTTTATATTTCTCTCAGCAACAAAGTGGCTGAAGAAGAGATGAGTCCTATTCACTGGGCTACTCAGGTAACACGACAGGTGTTTTGTGAACATTATTTCATCTCGTTCTCATAACAGCATTTCAAAGTAGTGTTATTATCATCCTTATTTAAGGGACGATAAAAATGAGACTTAAAAAGGTACTACAATTTGGTCAGAGAGATACAACAAGTAAATTGTGGAGTCAGGCTTCAAATTTAAGTTTTAATTCAAGCTCATTATTTTAAAAAGAACTCATTTTATTGTGGCATATAACAGACATACACGTATGCACATGAGAGTCATGACCTCTTAGTCTTGTCACGTACAGCTGGATTAGGTTTGTTAACAGTTCAGGATTCTCACATCTGTGTTCATGAGCATATTGGAGACTTGTCCTCAGCAAGAGCGTTGGTCCAAGTTACTTAAACTATGTTACTTAACTGGATATTACAAGATATCCAATTTTTTCTTTTTAAACAAAATTCTGTCTCAAACCATACATATATATAGTTCAAGCCATTCACGCAGACAGGATGGTGCACGGCAGGGGTAGGAGAGCAGAATGGTGGAGACTTCAGATTCTGAGGGACACTTATTCAGAGCAAAGCCACACCTCTGCTCCTCTCTAGCTGTACCCTGGCAAACTGTGTTACCATCCAAGTCTCAGTTTAATCATGTTAGCTTCTCAGTCTCAGACTGACCATCAGCAGGTGGCCACCTGCAGCTGTGGCAGAGCTTCTGTGAGGACCAGATGAGACAGAAGATGAGGCGAGGACACAGGCCGGGCACGTGAACACCGAACACCAGCTGCTGTTATTTTCACTGTGTCACTGACGTGTAAACCTGCCAGATTCCGCTCAGGGGCATCTTAGTTACATCAGAGACAACCATATATTTAAGTTTCTATACTTACATCAAAATAATAAATACTTCAAAAATCACTGCATACAAAGTTTTAAAACACTTTAGGAGAACTTATTTTCAATGAAATGGAAACGTGTTATGCTAACCCACTTATGGTCTCAAAACTTGATTTTAAAAATCTGCGAAAAAATAGGTGAAAAGTTCCTTACCTTTTTAAAATGGGTAGCTGACTGGACTTTCCTGACTGGCTGCATGAGTGCGTCACGCACAATGATACTTATGTCTGCCCCCGAATACCCTTCCGTTTTCTTCCCAAGTTCCCGGAAGTCTGCTTCTGTCAGACTGTTCTGAGTGGTCCCCAAGTGCAGTTTAAACATTGCTGCTCGGGC